TATTCTCAAATTGAAGATGCAATTTGTTCCAAGGTAAGTTTATGATTATAAACATCTAAGTAATAGTGTGGAGTTGTTTTTCTTGGTTTGGCCATTATTCTCATTTCCAAATTATACAACATCATTCTAGAGTAACTTTTTTGGTGTAGATCTTTTCTGTTGTGCTTAGTTTAAGGGCACTTGGACCATATAGATACAGGATTCAAAACAAGTATGTCTGTAAGCTGTATGGAAACATATGATCCTGACTTACAATATCATTTATTCTATAAAGCATCTCATAACTTCCTGGAAATGTTGCCCTGATTCCATGGGAACTAGGGTGGGCTCTTTCTAGAACAGCAGTTTTCAACCTTCCTAATGCTGCCACCCTTTAATACATTTCCTCATGTTGTGGTGACCCCCAACCATAACATTATTTCGATGCTACTTCATAACTGTCCTTTTGTCTCTATTATGAAACATGATGTGGGTATCTGATATGCAATCCCCTAAAGGCTCTCTATCCACAGGTAAAGAACCCCTGTCCTAGACCGTCAAGATGAGGGTGACATTCTGATGCAGAAATGGTTGCCTCGACTGCATGCTAACACACCAGGAATAGCTGAAGGGCTGACTTTATGTGTTTGTGTCATCTCTTTAAATGCTAGAGACAAAGAACACACACTTGAGGGTTTGTAAAAAGGTGGTGGATTACTGACAAGACCAGAAAGTTTTTTCAAAGGAAGCTGGGAAAGAGGTCTTGATGGAAGGCAATGATTTAGAACTTCAGAGCCTTAGGAAATGCTAGGGAGTAAGTCGGCTCTGGCAGCTCTGAAGGATTACAGCCATTGATTTCAAAGAACATAGCCACTTGCACTAAGCTAAGGGATCTGAACTCCTGTAAAAAGTGAAAAGGGTTTAGAAATCTGCTTGTAGAGTTCAAACCAAGACTGAGAGTTGGGAAATGGGGAGCAAATGGTCTAATGGTGTCCAATGGTTGCATCAACTGAGAGCTGCTGGTGAGATGAAGGCCAGCTAAGTGATTCTGCAGTGCTCTGGGGCCCTCACCTGGGTTGTTTACCTCACCTCCACACAACATGCTTTGGGGAAGCTGCCATAGTCACAATCTTATTGATCCTCTTCAAAACCCTGCCAGGTGTCCCCTTCCTGGGATGAGAATAAAGCTCCTAGTGCTCAGGGTGGCATCTTCAAATCCAGGGGTGACCCGGTCAATGGACAGCTCATTCACTTCGATCAAGAAAGGTATTCTGAAATAATACACTTTAAGTGGTCACTTTGAAATATTGTTAAAGCCAGAGCTCACATTCAAATTACATTTCCTGTAACTGGTAACTAGTTAAGTGGGTTTGTTGTTGTTGTTGTTCACTTTTTTTTTGCCTAGTTTAAACATGACCTATTCCTCCTCTGTCATTCACTTAGGGCATTCAAAAAATTCTGTCTATCCTCCTTCAGAAAAGTGAAATTTTCAAAGAAACCAATTCCAAAGATAGACATTGTTCTGGTCCCAACTGGTGTTGTGGTTTTATGACTGTACTTAAAACACCTGGCAATGAACTTGCAATTCCTTCCATTTAATCGAACCTCGTGTGTTTCAGTCATGTGACTGATCTTGTAAATTGCATCCCAGCAGGCTACAGAAATTCTTGTGTAACACTCAGCCTAAGTTCTTGAGATATAAGACTAGCCAGAAATCAAGCATCTTGTGTTTCTGTAACCATCCCTAAGTCATCATCAAAGATCGTATTTGAAACAGATAGCTTCTGTGGGTGTGTAGGGATGGTGTAATGGACTAGAGGGTTTGAGACTCAGAGAGAGAGTTCTGTTTCAAACCCTGACTCAGCAGTTGGCTAGCACCGTGATCTTGGGCTTCTCAATAAACATCTCTGACCCTCCGGTTCATTGTGAATGTAATTAACCCTGTTTACCTCCTATGGTGATGGTTAATTTGAGAATTAAATAAGATAATTAATTTGCATATAGAAATTATTCAGAATGATAGTGTCATTAGCCTGACAATGGAGGGAAGATTTGGGTGAGAGTAAAACATTTATTAAGGCTGGGGTCATCTACAGAATTGTTTCTGTAATTCTGTTTTATGTTACACTGGTATATCTGAGATAAAATCCCAATTGCTGCTTCAGTGACACACTCACCAGCAGACTTTGCCTATGTATTCTTCCTTTAACCCCTCAGAAGTGTTAACTTTTACATTTGTCTTTCTCATCTCATGTTGCTCACTCTCCTTGCTATCTATACCTTTGACATTTGTTTCTCAGCTTTTCTTTCTCCCCACCCAGAAGGCACCAGGCTCTCTGGGGGCAGACATAGAATGACATCAATACTCGCCCATTCAAGAAACCAAGCAACCAACTTTTTATGTTACCCTTTTGACTGAACATATTTTTCTGAATATGTTATCTAACCCACAAGAGTTGTGCTGGACTCACAAGATGTGAATGGTGAAGTTCCTTTTACAAGCCCTAGAATTTATTGATTCATTTATTTTGCATCCCAACTGCAGTTTCGCCTACTTCCTCTCTTCCCATTCTCTCCCTTCACCTCCCCTTTGCCCTCTCCATCCCTATATTTTTAAAGCTTATTCACAGTAAAATTGCCATTTCATTTCCAATACTGGGTTATAGCAACTACACTTGTTCTCCACCATCTCCCTCCCCTTCTCTTTCTATTGTGAATTCCTACCTTTTTCTGGCCATCTTCAACACACTTTCTAATGGTTCAGAAGATAATGAAGTGCTGGGCTTATCAATTGCAGCAAGCCAGATTCTTAGAAGCTTGGTTTGTGGATATACCAATTCTTCCCAGTCATTTGCACAGTGTATTTACTGTCAAAGTGGGCATTGGCCAGAAGAGTGACATCATCTGCAGATGGCCTTGCTTCCTTGTGGGTACGTGGGGCCTGCTAACAAACTGCAGGCAGGTTCTCTGAGACAAAGCCAGAGGAAATCAGGCCATATAGAGCAGTGAGTCAGGCAGGCTACTGTCTCATCAGGAAAAGTCAGTATAACCACAAAATCTCTTATGAAGTTTCAGGGCCAATAGCAGTCTTAAAAATAGGGATTGGTTCTGAGTGAGGACAGGAAAATGATAAACAATGGTGGTGTTCTTGGATCTTGACTTGAGTAACCCAGTTGGCATCATGAGCTATCAGCGAATAGTGATTTACCACTGTTGTTTTTTCCATGTTTCATATTGGGTTGTGTTGGTGACCCAAAGGGCAGTCAGATACTATAATGGAAGGCTTATGAGGCCCCAGGGTGACATGAAGCAGGTTAACCCTACCCTCACCTTCACATCTGAGTGCTTGGAGAGGTGCTGTACCTTAGATGAGAAACCTGACACTGTAAGAATTGATTGACCCACAGGGAGAACAGAGAAGAAATCATTCCTAACAGCTCTAGTCATTCAGTGCTGATCTGAGATGCTAAATGGCAAAAGAACACGGTAAGTAGCCACCATGTAGAGAAGACGGGTGACCAGCTATGGCTTTGTGATACAAATGGCCATGTGGTGGTGAGGGCTATTTCCAAGTGTATATTATCAGGCCTAAATTCATAGTGTTTATTTAATTTTCCAATTGAATTACTAATCAAGTGCTGTTTAAATACAAAATAATCTTGTCAAGTTAGCTCAAATTCTGCACTGCATGGAAAATACTGTAATTACAGAATAGTATGAATACAATTGTTTAGAGTCCTTAAGCATCACTATAATCAAGGCATTGCCACTTTTACACTTTCAGAATGATTAGTGGATGACTTAAAATATTTAATTCTTCAAATTCTGCATTTAGTACATCTCTTTTTTACGCCCTTATTAAAAGCAAACTATTTGATTTTCAAAAAGCTCCATAGAGCCATAGGCTGCTGCTGGCTGGCTCAGGATCCGAGACAAAATGTCAATGGCTAGAATTTTAATTTCGATTTCCTTTTCACTTTATTGCCTTTACTTGGTGACATAATATCTAAAATGTGTAGGGAAGGAAGAGGGGCCTCCATGGAGTTGAAAGGAAAGCCCTGGGACATGCAGTAAGACAGCGAAGACTTCAGCAGTGTCAGATCTTGCTTGATTGTTAAGATATCATCTCTGGAGATTATTCCACTTGGTACTGCATTTATGTAAACATAAATCAACAGTCTTTCTAGACACTTCTAGACAAAGGCATCATGATTTAGGTTTATTGGGGTTTTTTTCTATCTTATGTCTGCTAATTTGATCACCTCATTAAACATGTTTCCTTTAATACCCATGTTAAACGTCTTCAGTGATAATCTCAAAAAGAATCCATATGAATAATAAACATCCACTTTTAAAATAAATTTTCTTATAAAAAAATGACTCTCAGAATTAATAAAACATGGCCCCAGATAGCATTATTCACTAGTCCCAGAGCTAAAAATCCAGTTCTATAGGCTGTGCAAATTTGTCCTGGACACATTTCTTTGATCAGGGTTGTTAGTGGTTACTACAGTTAGCTTGTCCTCTCTATTTTCAGTGCCAGAGATATTTATGATCTTAAGTGCACCATGCATGACTATTAAAGGCAAAGGAAACAGCAGGGGCATGGTTCCAACTGCTTAATAAACAACTATAGCAAGATGCTTATTAAAGCTGGCTCTCAAGTGACAGATAAATGCATAGCTCTGTTACACATTCTAAAATCGGCTCAGAAGCAGATCAAAGCAAGAGAGATTTAAAAAAAAAATCATTAAGACAAAATGCAACAATGTCAGTATGTGACAGGAAAATAAATAATTTACCTTAAAAATGATCTCCCTTCAGCTCCTCAAGAAACATGCAACCATAATTTATAGAATAAAATTAAAAGCAATTTAAGAATATACCATTTATTACCTTGCCCAGAATCAAGCTTTTAAAAATCCATTTAAATAGGTTTATGTTCAGCCAAGGCATGATTGAATCCTTTAAATAAACAGACAGACAAGCGAAACAAAGCCTAGATCACATAATTACTGGCATATAATTCTTATTTATTAATGTGCGATGTTCACATCTTTAAAAAATGAAATCCAAACACAAAATGCACATACACAAAAGACATTAAACAGACCCTTGTACAGCATTTTCTACCACATGAGGTTTTAGTGAATAATTTCAGAATTCCCTTACTCAACTTTGCCAGAAGCTTTTCCATTTTCACTGTCCAGAGCCATATTTACAATAAAATGTACAATATTGTAGACTGGGCTGTGCAACCTTCACTTGATTTCAACTTTAATTCCTTGGTTGTCTAGGATGTTGTGGAAATGCCAATAAATTTGAGAGCTCACCCAACTGTTCCTCTTAACCTTTGTTCCCAAAGGAAAAGGGCAAGACTATTAATCAGACAGCAATTTATCTTTAATTAGGAAAACATAATTAGGTATTATCACCTAATTGCAATTAGTAGCTGGAGAAAGTCACTTTTCTTGAGCAGTGACCCATGTTGGATTACAGTTCTCCTCTCAGTGGATTTTACAATTGTATTTATATTCAGCAGCCAGCCAATAAAATTTAAAAGGCAATCGCTAGGCTCCTCTGTAGCCAGGCATCAAAGTCACCAACTTTGCTGCTAAACAGCAAACCAAGAGAACTTTCAACAACCACAAATCAGCTATGTCTGTTTCCTGCTCAGACATCAAGTGTAAATCAAAATAATTGTATAAAAAAATCCCATTGAAATAGACTGGAGAACCATTCTATACTTCGTGTCCGGTACAGTTAAAAACAGTTTAATGTCTCAAGGCACCACTATGGTTGAACATCAGATACATGGGTAATCGGCTAATCTACTAAGCTGTAAGTCAGTAAATAGCTTGTGCAGTTGTGAAGAGCAATCTCTAGGGGACCATTAAACATACAGTAGGCACGTGTATCATAATACAAATAGAAAACAATGAGTCTAGAAAAAGCATGTTGAGCACCGTTGTGGCATTGTTTGTATTTCTTTACCTAACGCTATGTAAACCTGACATTTACAAAATGAAAGACTACACGATTTTAAAGTGACACTCAAGGTTGCTCTTTGTGCTCTCCCTAAAGACTCTAGTTCATCCGCATACTCTGAGAGCTTGTTGGGTCTTGATCAGCTTCCATTGCACTGGTAGTTTCCTTCAAATGCAAGCTCAAGTTTTCCGAGGTCACGTGGGAGGACTTGTAGACTATCTCATTAAAGTCGGACCCAATACAGACCAAGGGAGGGTCATTCAGTGGGTCTTCCACGGAGACCTGGGTATTTTCTCGGGTCATTCCCATGTCTTTGCTGTGTTCTGAGGGCGATTTCCTTTTCATGCGAGTGTAGGTTTTATCTTGATTCTCCATGCCTTGCTCATTCTTCAAAAACCGACCAAAGAACCAAATGAAGAATCCAAACCAGACAAAAGCTATCAAACTTGGAACAAAAGCCAGACACTTGACATCTAGGCTGGCCCCTATGAACCTGCTGTGTAAGAACATGTCTCCCTCAACGTATGTTTTATTAGTCTGGGGGTTAGTGTGATTGGACCTCCATTCCCAGGATAACTTGGTTCTGTTTAAATCCTTTAAACTCTCAGAGTCTTTCACTGTATATATCTTCTGCCCTGGGCCAATATACTGTCCATATTCATGAGGTTTATAAAATATTTGGTTCTTCCACATATTCAGGTCCAAAATCAAGACAAGAAAGATAATTCCGTAGTTAAACCATTTACCTGCATTTAAAAGGAAACACTGGATTAATCCAAGGCTGATAAAATTACATTAGGGTTTTCACATTAAAACAAAGATAATGGTATAATGGTACAAATTATGGAAGAACTAGACCTGCTGAAATGCTATCATAAAGTCAACTGACAAAGCAGAATGAATCAAACTGCAGCGGCAGGTCTTAGAGTAGCATGAGATTTACTGTAGTTATGATCAAAGTTCTTTGTTTTATGTGCACCATGGCTAGATTCAAAATTAGTCTTAGGCTCTTCTCTAGAATAGTTTAATTAGCAGTGAAAAACAGTTCTAATGAAAAATTTAAGAATGTCCAATATATGATTGAATATTTCTTACTGTTTCATAATTAGGTCTGGGGATGAAATAAATCATTTTGTGATGCAAAGCACAGTAGTATATCAATTGAATTTGCATTTTTTTTTGTAGAAGACCTGTTGATTACACCATTGGTTGATGCAATCCAGATCAATAATCTCTAAGTGTTCATTTCAAAAATTAAAAACTCAAACCAAATGCTTACTGAACACAATGCATTTATGAGATATACAACCAACACTAATAGAGTACTGGAAAATATCACCACCATCATTTCCTCTTAGAATTTAAAATATTATCTATGATTCAGAGAGACAGCTCAGCGGTTAAGGGTACATTCTGCTCTTGCAGAAGAATCAAGTTTGGTTCCTAATAGCATGTCACACAGTTCCCAACAGCCTGTTATCTGGTTCCAAGTGCAATCTGATGTCTCTGAGCTCCATAGCCGCATAGTTGTCTTCACTCACAAACATGCAGACACACACACGCACGCACGCACGCACGCACGCACGCACACACACACACTTAAATATATTCAATTAAATTGCATACATGTGCATTATGATATTTAGTTATATTTTATTGAAGTACATCTGCACAGGGAAAGAATGTGGAAAATTTCTGAGGGATACTAGGTTCTATTACAATTGTTGTCATTTCTTACAAGTTTTATAACATCAGATATACTATAATAAAGTTAAATCTCTCTCTTGAGTTTGTTTATAGCAAATAGTATGATACAAATGACAGGCTGTAGAAGCTTTAATCATAATTTTAAGCATTGTACCTTCATTGTTTACTAATTGGAAGGTAATAGTATTGAATACCATAAAGTTACTACTTGACATAATTATACATTTGGTGCATGTGCAGCTTTTGGGAAAGAGATCTAATTGTGGGGAGGTTGGGGATACTTACATCTACACAGCATCAGATCCTATGATATGTACAGTTGAGGGCATTGATCCTGTCTAAGATTTACCTGCCATTTAAGTTACTTGCTTAAATTCTTTACAGCCCATGTTGCCTTCCATGAAGAAAAAAGTAGCATTTCTTGACATTAACATTTCATGAGCTTATTAGATGCTAAGTGCCATGCCTTGTAGATAATGACAGTCACTTTTAACACTAATTGTTAGTGTTATCATCAAAGCCTTGCTAGACCCATGACAATTTCTTTGTCTAAAGGAGAAGTTACCACTTGCTGTGTATTAAAGAGTTTGGCTTAAGGAATTGACAATGCTTACATCTTTGTACTATGTTGTTTTTGTAGCGTTCCTCTTCTCCTGATTGATGATTAGTATGATACTGTCTTGAAGTATGATACTAGTCTTGAAGCTCTAAGGCCTGCCTTGAACTTGGTAACCACATAGAAAAACAATGTTCCCAACATTGCAACTGGCTGTCTGATTTAGTGTGCAAAAACAAAAATCAATCTCAAAGGTACACAGTGTCATTAAAACTTTATTGAGCTCATACTAGACAGTATGTAGCATACCCCACCAGATGGTAAAGATACAAGTTTCTACCTTTCAAGGGCAATTTGTCATCTTGCTGGGGAAACAGGACAGAGATACAACAGACAATGGCAACAGATTGCATTTAGAGATGGTAATGAGGGATATAAACTATATGTGTAAAAGACATTGAGAATGTGGAGTAAATGCTAAGGAGAATTTCTGCAGGAAGGACTGGAGGAAGAGGCAATTCACATGGCCCCAACTCATATGGTTGTTGAAGAAGAATCGGGGTCCAGAACGCTGGCATGTTTTAGTTTTCTTTTAGTGAATACTTGTCTTGTGCTGCAAATAGAATAGCATGATTTAAAGGATGAGCTGTAGGAGAAAAGATGAACTGAGGGAAGTGAAAAGGAAAAGTGTGGGACCGGTGACAGGGAAAGAAAGGCAGGAGAGGACTGACACAGGTAGAGGGGAAAAGTTTAGAGATTCTCACCTAGTATGAAGGGGCACTCACCTGTTGCCGCCATGACAGATGGCACATTACAGAGGTTCTCTAGAGCTCTGTAGTGGGTATTAACACTTACTCTGGTTATGAACTACACGTGTTACAAAGCTAGACTGAATGGCAGAGCCAAGGGGGCTCTTAGCTTTACCTCAGTGGCCTTTACCAAAATTTCCACTACTGGGTTCTATTTAAAATAAAACTATAACAAGGAAAACCCTGCAGAATGAGTTCTGTGTTTCTAGGATACTAGTTTATCAAAAGTGGGAGTTATCACCACCCCTGAATTGGGAAGGAGAAAAGGGGTGGCTAATGGGGTCAGTTTTCCTGATGGTGAGAACAATGTTTTGTGTGTGTTAATAACCAAAGAAAAGGCCAATTAGTTCAGGGTAAATATGGAAGTGAATGGATACTAACCAAACTTGGTGAGAACACTGGGGCCCAGAGAAGCTTTTTTCTTACATTTTTGAGTTATTTTCTATCAGTTCAACAGTGCTGGGTCAAACTTACACTTGACTCTTATAACAGTGGGTTCTTAATGATATTTCTCATGTGGCATAGAGCAGTAAGAAGAAGATGAAAATATATAGGCTAACTTGAGTCTCATCATCTTCAACAAACTGTGAGAAGAAGTGTATTGGGAAGAGAGTAGATGCCAGCCTGCCTCTGACTCACCCCCACCCTTATAGGATGCCCTCTGGGGTAGCCTGTTTAGCCTCTCTTGTCCAGCATCATTTTATTTTCAATGTGAGAAAAGTGAACCAGTTTTCCAGATCTGCCTTCTTCGCCCAAAATCCTTCTACTTACTAGCTTAAACTTAATTTTTATTTTTAGTAGTAGAAACTTAATTTTTATTTTTCTTATTCTGCAAAATGAAAAACAATCTAAGTGTAAATCTCTGGAATGATTTTTGTGAGGATAAAATAAGAGGTTATATTTGAAACATATCTAAAATATATTACGTTTGCCAAAATTTCACCAAATTTGCCAAAATATTGGTGTAATAAATTTCACCAATTTCTTTTCTCTACTTTGCTAATCCAGAGGGACAGAAAGACATGAAATGGTTGTAACAAAGGTATTTCTATGCTAAAGATGATCACATCTTTTTAGTTTTGATAAACTGTCATGAGTTGCTGAGAACTAGTATCCACAGATTACATAGGACCAGTTATACAATGATATCTCTATGAAAATATGCTTTGTGAATCACCAGTGGGTAGTTTGTCTACTTGCAGTTGTTACAGCTCTGAGAAAAGTTGTTTCATGTGAGTAGAATTGGAGGCCAACAACAGGTGTGCTATCTTTCTATCTCCACTAACATTGAGAGCCCATATGGGGTTTGGGAGATGCATAGCAGAGACACTGAAGCCCCTGAGACACCAGAATGACTCTAATTTCCTGTGTATGTAACAGTATTGCTCCACCACTGTCATGGCCACTTAAGTGAATCTTGGGGATGCTGAAAGAGTAGACATTATGGTCTAAGTTCTTTTTGTTTTCAACTTGTTTTCTCCAAGCTTGCTGTTGTGCATATTTGATCAAAAGTAGCTAGAGGTTTGGAACGTCCACATCAATCAATTTGTCACAGGAAGGAGATCCATCATTAACCATCCATCCTTTGATTTTCGACTTAGAGTTTTGTTTACTTGGTAATGTTTTCTCTCCTTAAGAAACTCCTTGGTCTTCTGAGATGTGGTGTCCCATATCCCAAAGTCAGGCAGGGAAAGCTCAACCTCTTGTGATGGTGTTCTTGCATGAAGTGGCAGAACTGAGCCATACAATCCTTAAAGTTTTTCACAGCCCTGAAAAGTTTCCCTGGTTAGTTATTGTGAAATGAACATCTCCACAGCCTTGCCATTGTAGGATGAGCCAGAAAACCTCCCCCAAATTGGGGAAGCAGGCTTGTTATCCATAGTAACCCCTAGTTTCTGGAATGGCCCAAGTAAGAGAGAACAGGAAGGGTTCTAACTCTTCTCTCCAAGTGTGCTGTTGTGGATACTTGATCACCAGTAGTTAGAGGTTTGCAACTTCCACATCAATCATGTGAACGTGTTTGCATTCCCCGTGTGATCACCAGTAGCTAGAGGTTTGCAACTTCCACATCAATCATGTGAACGTGTTTGCATTCCCCCTGTTGTTTCAACTACATAGCATAATGCAAATCAGCAAGGAGTTAGGGCAAAATCCATACATTATTTCTATTAATCTCCTGTTGAAATATCTCGATGTCTGCTTTAATGAGAAATCACCGCATGATGCTGGCAGGGTTACCTCTTCCTTGTGTTTTGTCATTTTAATGAATCTTATTGATTGTCAAAAGTGATACTATAATGGAAATTTTATCTTTTTACTTTGTGGGAGTTTATGGAATCGTTGGATATGTAATTTTAAAGGAGTCATCATTAAATATCACCCTCATTTAAGACACAAATTAACAATAATTGGGGGAAATACTGCCTTTTTTTCCAGAAGAAGAATAAAAGCCATAATACACTGGTATTTGTAACATATAATGAACATTTCATGATTTTAATATACATCTAAAACATTTTTAATCATGTGCTCAGTGGAGTCACCAGTTGACATTGTCATACAGCTATTCTGTAGACTTCTCTCTACCAGGTAAACGATACTATTTGGCCAGATATATAGGGAAGGTTTTTGTAACATTCATGTTACCTATTATGGATGCCATTTAGCATCCATT